ATGTACTCTGCCCTTGCACAGGTCGCCCAGGAGAGGGAATGCTTGACGAGACAGAGTGGGAAGAATGGCTTGGGGGAGGTCAGGCCCCACACCCAGGAACTTAGGAGAAGCTGGAGAAGTTTACTGTCTGCCCTCCACACTCTGTCCTTTGCTGATTGGGGGCTGTTGGGACAAAGAGTTTGGTTTGGCCCAATGAAAGTCCATCACAAATAGATCAGCTCTCCAGACAAAAACACAGAGATTGAGGATGGCTCCTTCTCTTTGGCCCAGAGACTCCCAGGGGCCAATGGGAGGTGCTGCTGCTTTCCTGGCAGCACAGGAGTGGGGGAAGTGACTGTCATATGCCTTATCAGGGAATCTTTCAATCAGACTCAGCGTAAGAGCCTAGTACTGGAGATGAAGTCATTTCATTAGAAAACATGATCAAGTTGCTTTTTCTCCAGAAGGGAAGGGTCATGAATGTGATATTACTGGCTGGCTGCCCTCCCCCTCCCCCTCCATCCCTCACCCCCCTGCGCCCTGGGATTCCTGATTAGAACTAGAGCACCCACTAGGAAAACAAAAGCGAGGCCTCTCCATTACAGCAGGGGCAATTTATTGGCTTAAACTTTTTTTCAATGAATTCAGGTTGACCAAACCATGTCGTGAATTCAGGTCCAAGTCACTGAATTGTTTCAGTTAAAAAAAAACTTAGGAAAGAAGCCAAAACATTTCCATTTGGACTTTGAACTGACTTGTTTGTTTCACATTTCACTTCACATTGACTTTAAAAAAAGTTTAAAAATACCCCTGCTCAAAACCAAGCCATTTCCTTCCATCTGAAATGAAATTTCATTGACTTTTCCCATGTGGTCAGTGAACCAAAAGCTCAGTTATTTTCACAGATCTCCTGCCAGCCCTCATACTTCAGGACATAGGCTGAGCCCCAGCGAGGGTCGGAGACTAATACCTCTGCCTGGGACAGCATTGCATACTTTGGTATTGTAGCAGCAGCACCCACTGTCAGCCACAGTGCAAAATGCTGGTCGATTGTGCTCTGGCTGCATGTATGGGCCAGTGGC